GGGAGCATGTGTGTAGGTACACATGCACATGTGTGGAGGCCAGAGGTTGACATCAGGTCTAGTCTAGATACCCAGCTTGCTCTAGGGATCTCCTGTCTCTGCCTCCTAAGTACTAGAATTACAGGTGGGCTGCCATGCCTGTCCAGCATGTACACAGGTGCTGGGGATTTGAACTCTGGTCCTAACGCATGTGTGGCAAGCACTTTATCCATTAAACCATCTCCCCAGTCCCCAGTCATGTTAATTTTGAAGTTTCTGTCACATACCAAGTGGATATCAGGGAGGTTATCCTCGGAAGAGAATGTGAGATCAAACTTTTCCTGTGTTTGAAAGATAGGATGTTTCTGTGTGATGGAAATGGTTCAGCAGACAGCAGGAAATCCGTGATTCTGAAGAAAGGAGACAAGGCAGAGGTGATGTGTGGTGGGGAGGAGATGGCGCTGAAGCCATGCATAGGGACTTATCTTGGTCGGGGCAAGACTTTATCTACTGTAAACAGGAAAGAAAGGAGCACACACCATTGCTTGGGGCCTATCTGAAATGAGGTTAAATGTCTCAGATGAATGACATAAAAGTCAGCACATTGGAGGCCAAGGGCCAAAGGAAGAAAATAAATGCTTTTCTTTTGCAGGTGCTTTAGCTCATCCAGACAGGAATGGAGTAGGCAGGTCTCATGTATCCCAGACTCACCTCAAAATCACCATGTAGCAGAGGTTTACCTTAAACTTCTGATCCGTCTGCCTCCCTCTAAGTGCTGGGATTACAGGTGTGTGCCACCATACCTGGTTTATGCAGTGCTGCGGATCAAACCCAGGGCTTCATGGATCCTAAGAGAGCAAGGGCTGGGGTTTTGACAGATGAATACAAGGGGCAGAATGAGGATCAAGAGAGCTAAGGCTTTGCGAAGGTGTAACTGTGACTCTCCGATGGCCCAGGAAGTCTGTGGAGAGCTGATATGGGTAGAACTCTCAGGGCAGCTGGAATCTCATTAGCTATTTTTATTGCGAATAAAGAGAAGCGGACAAATGAGGGCCAGTGCCTGGCAAAAATGTACACTCTCCCAAAGGATCTTGTTAAAGTTACTAATTTCCTAAAATAAGGCCTCTGCATGTCTTTCAGGGAACTCCTGAACCAGGGGCCACTTAGTGATGCTACTGACTCCAGAGGAGGCAAATGGCATTTCTAGGAGAATCTGAGTCATGATGGATTTCCAGAAGAGTCCTGCTTTGCATTCTTGAATGGAATGATGTGATTATGCCCTTACAGGGTTTTAGGGAAGCCATTCACTTTTTCCAAACAAAACCCTTCAGGTGACACTCTATGTGGTGTGCCTTGGTAGCCAAAAGTCACACAAATCTGTGTGTTGGCTTATGACAGATTTAAATGGAGGACATTGTATGTTTGGGATGTGAATGTGTACATGGGGAGCTGGAGAGATGGCCCAGAGGTTAAGAACACTTGCTGTCCTTTCAGAGGACTGGAGTTTGGTTCATAGTATCCATGTCAGGCACTGACAACCACATGTAACTCCAGTTTCAGGGGATTTCAACATCTTCTTCCAGCCTCCATGGAATACACATGGTATACACATGGTGCACACACACACATATATACACATACACTAAAAATAAAGCTTTAAAAAACCCTCTGCAATCTGTATTTCTTCACAAGTAGCAACTTACAAGCCTTGACTGTTTCCTAGATTATAGGTGAGATGACTGTACACACCACCAGGGAAAGACCATGTAAATATTCTATCATCTCTTAAGTAAAAAGCAAGTTGAATTGCTTTTTATGGAATACAATGAAAGATTGGCTAGATCAATTTCTGGATAACATAAAACATGTTAGCTGTTGCTTTAATGATGGCAACAACTTAAGCTTTCTTCATTTATGTGACTGCCAGGAGCCATTTTTTTCTAAGTGCCCACAAGAGGGTGGTGATGGATTACATACTTGCCCTAATCTGCCTCTTTCAATTTCTTCGATGGCATCATTCCCCGGTACCCAGCACTTTCATTCCAACAGTCTTTATCTACCAAGCAGGTTGCTGGTGACTCCTTTTCAGCCTGCCCAGCCACTCTTATACTGTTCCTGAGGCTGGGCTGGGCAAGGCTCTCTCCATTTTCTAACAAGTCAATGGCACCAACACGCTAGAATGGATGCTGGTGACCAAGCATGCGTGGGCCTTTCCTGACTTGAAGGGATTGCGTCTCCTCCTAATTCCTTTTCTGTCCTCCCCACAGCAGTGTTCATGGCATGAATTGAAGTCCTGTCTATCTCCACTCTTTGACCTACATGTCTTTCTTTGCCTGATGGGCTTCAGAGGTGGCTTGGGAGTAAGAAGAATGGGTTAAGGGAGGTGAGAGCCAGCCCGCTTCCTGGCCATTCTGTAGATCTGGAGACCCTTCCAAGCCCTCTAAATTAACATAGGTTGCCTTGCATGTAGCACGTTCCCCATAGAGAAGTATGGCTTTGAACTCTTCAGTGCCTTGAACCAATGACATATAGTTCTAGTTATTTTGGTTTGGTTGTTTTGTTGTTATTGTTTTGGACAGTGTCTCAGGTAGCCCAGGCTAGTCTAAAATTAAGGCTAAGGCTGGCCTTGAACCTGATTCTCCTGTTTCCACCTCCCAAGTGATGGGATTATAGACATGTGCCACCAGGTCCAGCTTTGTAACTGCTTCTTTTGCATGAAGTCTATAGGCTGTTCATTAGTTAGAGATGAAGGTGGGAAATTCAGTTATGATGTTGGGTGGCAGAGAGCAGACGTAAAGTCCATGGCAGAACTGTTATCTCCCAGAGAAGTTCAAAATCAGACACGTGGCCTGACAGGCAAACCATTGATGCAGGTAGAGTTCAATTCACCATCTTCAGTCCTCACAAGCAACTTCTCATCTACAAGGCCACAGTTCAGAGAATCCAAGGGCAGTCTGGTGATCCCTTCTCCCACAAGCACCAGCCCCTACTTATGTTTACTGGGGGGAAATCTTGCTGCACCTCTCATTTGTTTCCTGCACCCACTCTGTCCTGTCAATACTGGACAAAACAATGTCCATTGGCCCCTGCCTGATTGCTAGGAGGTCAGTATGCTGCAAATGAAGATGCCCTTCATTTACAAGGACATAGTCTCTCATGTGGACGTCTGGCTTGGTGACAGGACTTTTCCTGAGCTGGAGCCACACATTCCTTCAGCTGGAGGCCAGCTGGTACCACAAAGCTGTTTCCCACTCTGTTTCTCAAGTTCTTTCAGTGAGCCTCCATTAGGACTGGAGGGGAACTGTTCCTACCCCTGATGGACAACACCCCCTCAAGGGAACAGCTTGTCACTGGAGTCCCTAAATAAGCAGGAAAGGTTGTTTCCTTGGCCTCCAGAGGGCTCGGCTGGCAGGCAGGGGAACTTGCCTGCCTTTACTCCATCCTGTACTTCAACCAAAGCTCTTGTTTCCTAATGGCTTTGCCAAGGTCCCTGCCAAGCCTAGAAGCGCAGGACAAACGTACTTGTTCTCCATCCTGTATTCTGAAGAAATGCAAACCACAATCTCCACACATAGGAGGGGCGAGGAGCACTCTCCTGTCTGCCGTTACTTCTGATACAGGGGTCTCGGTCTCTCTTGATGCTTAGCTGTTAGCCTGGCTCCTCTGAGGGGCCTCATTCCACGGTGATCCTCTGACTGGCTTCTAAAATCTGCAGCTACGTACTGTTTCCATAGAATGCTTAAAGACAAGGGAGACGCTTTCACGATGCGTTCTTGCTCTAACAGAATGCTCCCAAGCTAATGGGAGACTGGATCTTTGTCTTCCTTGTGGCCTTATCAGAAGTCAGTTCTCTAGGTACTGGCTCAGCTCAGAGGGAGTTTATTATTGGATACAGGCAGAAAAGCTGGGGCTTCTTAAAAAGCTAGAAAAGGGGCTGGAGAGATGGCTCAGTGGTTAAGAGCACTGGTTGCTCTTGCACATGACCTGGGTTCTGTTCCCAGTACCTACAAGATAGATAATAACCATCCCTAATTCCAGGGACACAACACCCTCTTCTGGCTTCTGCAGGCATTGTACAACACTTACATTCAGGTAGGCAGAACACTCAAAATTTAAAAAAGCTGGGAAAACTCTCCCAATCCTCTGATCTTCTCAAAGAACAGTTTCTCAAATGTGAACTTGGCACGATCCACTCTGCTGTCCTCAGAGTCGTCTTTATCAGATATAGCACAGGGTGAGACTAAAACCCAAGACTTAATGCTTGCAGGAGGAACAGTGGGGGCTGATCTTGCTTAATCAGATCAAGCAGGGGCAGGGCTTGTTGGGCAGTGTACTGATGATAGACTTTTCTACACCATCACTAGCTCACTGGACTAAGCTCCTTTGCCTTTGCCTTGGTTCACAGCATAATTTTTACAACTCAGAGGCCAGGGACCCAGAATGACCTCAGAAACCTCACAATTATTTCCAGCACCATCCCTGCAGAGTCCCTCAGGGCTCAGGCTGCAGGGGGAAAGCATGGCTGTTGGGCTGGGGCCCTGACTGACACTCCACTCTGCCACTGTCTAGCACTAGGGGTTATACCCAAAGCCCAGTGGCTTCCATTTCCACTTAGAAGACAGTGACACCATCACCCACACTGGCAGGGCAGTGCCTGTGACTAAGTGGATTTTAGGTCAGGAGCCTATTATAGTATCTGGAGGTGAGGGATGACACTCATGTTGCCAGCTCGGGAACTCGAAGGAGAACTCCAGCTGCTGATACTCAGAGCTGATCTGCGTTCTCATCAACTCCACAACAGCCATCAGCGATTCTCAGGGAGGAGTAACCCTGGCTGAGTTTATACCCCTCCTGTATTCTAATCAGCCAATGAAAGGCACAAGTCATGTGGGACAAAAGTCCTCTATTTCTGGGCTTAACATCAGCTGAAGCTAATCAGAAAGAAATCCGCAGAATGAAGAATCCCAATTTGGAAGCCAGTGTGCACATCAGACTTGGGTCTGGATGTGTAGGTGCCGATAAAAGGACCCGCAGATTCTTTTTATTTTTAAGCTGCAACACACATGGTTTAATACAACAAAAAACATTTCATCAAATTAAATGCAATAAACTGAACAATAAACAAATCAACACTCAGAACAGGATATTTTCCATTGGAAACATGTTAGGATGAACACGGGGCTCACTACCATCGCACTGTGCTTTTCTCATGGGTTACAGGCCTACACACCCCATGATTTCTGTAGCCATGCAGGTGTGAGTGGAAGTCTGAACAATTAAATAAACCAAAAGTCCGTCCTTTACTGCAGAGGATCATCTCCTGGGACAGCGAGACTGGGTGGGAGAACAAAATCCTTCAGGATGCTCTCCGAACACTCGGGCTCATTTTAGAATCCGTGGACCTTGAGCTGCTCCTCCTTGACAATGCCAACCTGTGAGACAGAACTGGACTTAGCAGAACTGCTCTGAGGAACACACATTAATCTCTGAGAAAACAGTGGTAAGCATCAGCCAGCAGCTTGCAGGACACTGTGACACTCAATTAACAGCTGACAATCCCACGCACATTTGCAAACCGGCACACGTGCCAAGAAACACTGCTTATGAACGAATGACAATCATAAGGCTGGACAAATTAACTGGACAAGCTCTGACCGTCTTCAACGTCAGTACTGACCCTGCACATCTCACTCAGTTACCTAATTTATGTCATGCACATGATTTGCACTAAGTAGGAAATAACTCCTGTTTCTTTAAATGTAATTTTAAAGAATTTAAGAGGCAGCCTTGAGGTTCCACACAGAGTACCCAGTAACTTACCTCCAAGAGAAACTGGCAAATGTTCTTTCTTTGGTCACCTTGAAGCTGAATAACCTCTCCGTACTCAGGATGTTCAATCACAGTACCATTACAGGCAAATTTCTACAATACAAAAACATACAATCTGATTTAGTCAATGCAATGAGCCATTATTTCACACTGACAACAAACAACTACTTCAGCTGGCTTGATTGCAATAAAAACATGTCTTCTAGAATTCCCAGCCCTCCAAAATTAATTGTAAATGAATTTGCAGGTCATACAAAAGGAATAATTTTATGAGGAAACATCAACAATGAAAGATTTCACATCTTTTTGTTTGAAAGTCATACAAAGCTTAATCTGAGGAGAAACAAAACAGCTTTCCTGGGCCCAACCTCTGACATAGCCAAGCCACAATGTGAATCCCAGTTGTTCTAGGAGCCATGTATGTATAACTCCACTCCAACCCTCCCTTCCTGCCGCCTCCACCTTTTTGAAAGCTTTCACAAGTTTCTTTTTGTCATAATCATCTGCAATGCCCTGCACGGTGGTCAGCGTCTTCCTGCCGTTCCGTTGCTGGATTCTTATATGAATGTAATCCTCGGTCCCTGCAGGGAGTAAGTCGTCACCCTTAGTTGCATCAGCAAAGGGGTCTGCAGGACAGAAAAATGCCAAAGCAGGAAAAGCAATTTTAGGAAGTACTTTCTAGAAATGTAGTCCTCCACAGATCTAGACAGACAGCAAAGATGGTTCTAGAGCTTTTGCTTTCTTTTTGCAGGTGGGGATGGAGCTGACAGTAACACCCCCAAATGGGAAAATCTAAACAGGCTGTGTTTTCTGACATTGAGCTTAAAAAAGTTTTTACAAATACTTTACAAAAACAGTTAATACTGTTGAACTCAGCCCTCTAATGAGAAAAAAGGCATTTATGAAACGTGAATTCCATACAGCCACTATTAAAAACATACGTCATCTCCACTACAGGCTGATGTCAACAGAAACATTCAAAGATGCCCACCCCAATCAGTTAACTGTAACTGCATAATATAACAATGTAATATAAATGTACATACGTGATCTCAAGAGGAGTCATTTAAAAGTGACTAGGCAAGCAGAAAAGGTTGGACCACTTCCCCCACAGACCAGACAGGCCTGTATCTGCATCTTTTTACCAAATGCCTCTCAGGGCTGTGCAAAGGCAGCTAAGGCTGAACAGGGACATTGGTGCTTTTAAGAGTTGCAAGTCTCCCAGGCCTTTAAGACTGCAGCCTCTGTGAGTGTCGGGTCCCTGGGCTCCCGGTCCAACCCCTATCTTCCCTGATGAGTGGAATGGCAGGTTCCCTCATCCCCCCAAGCCTTGAGCTTCCCAGTCTCCTTGCAAGTTCTAGTAAGACCCTCAGGTCTCCTCGATTGTTAGCCATGGAAGGACCTGACTTTCTGAGTCTCAGTACCCTCAGCTCCTGATCAGTCTCTTTGCAAAGCCCTGGCAAATCTTGGGCCCTTTTTGAGTCCCTGAGACCCCCTCACCCCCTTCCTCCATCAGTCTCCCTGCCGGTGTCAAGTCCCACAGTCCCCCTTTGAGTCCCTGAGACCCCCAGTCTCCCTGCCAGTGTCAAGTCCCCCTTTTGAGTTCCCAAGGCCCCCAACTCCCTGACAGTGTCACGCCCCCGGTTCCCTCTTTGAGTCCCCGAGACCCCCAGGCTCCCTGACAGTGTTAAAGTCCCCTGGTTCCCCAAGGCCCCCAGTCATCCTGACAGTGTCATGTTCCCCGGCCGGTCCCCAGCCTCCAGTTCCGCCCCAGGTGAGACCAGGTCCGAGACGCGGTGGGCGCCGTTCCCGGGGAGAGAGTCGCGCAGGGCCTAGTCGCCATCTTCTGGGCGCCGAGACAAAGCCCAGTGGGGCGCGGGCTGCGGCCGGGGACTGGACCTTACCGAAAGATTGGAGGTTCTGGATAGTGGACATGCGACACTAGTGTGAGGCCGGTGAGGGGATAAAATTCCTGCGGGGCCGGCCCGGATCACCGTGTCAGGAGGCTGCAGTGGCGAGAAACGGAAATCAATGAGGCGGCGGCGCGAGGCTGGACCAGCGGCGGCGGCGGAAGCCGAGCGGCAGGAAGACGCGGGCGCGAGCGAGGAGGCGGCGCTGCGACTTCTCTCGCACAAAATGGCCGGCGCCGCTATTTAGCCCCGTGCGCCGCCGCCACGTGACCGCGTGCGCCACCCGCCCGCCTAGGGGCCGAGCCGAAGGACTTGGGGCGTTCGGGCTCCCACTGAGGGCCGCTGCGGTCCGTTCGACCGGAGGCCCCGGGTGGCACAACTTCCGGGCGCAAGGATGAAAAGCGCCCCCCTCCACCCAGCCTCGGCTGGAGACGCGGCAGTTGCTTTATGCACCTCCCCC